CTCCCAAACACCCCCTATATTTGCATTGAATTCCTCAATCTTTAATTAGTATCATCCTCATATTCCTAACTTTTTGCATCACAATTTTAGTTTCAATATTACATAAATCCATATACATCGTTGGTGATAACATTTTTTGTTCAAAAAGTTTGTTAGAATGTTATAAGTAGAATTATCTATTCCTTACTTCTTAAATTAATATAAAAGTGCACTAAAATATTTTCCATAATTTTAAAGCACGAAAAAATGTTTAGGATATAAATGTTAAATAAATATAAATGGAGGTCCTTCAATGAAAATAAAATGCAAATTAGCACCTGTCTGATGGTTATTATTTGGCAAATATAAAGTTTTGAATATTAAATTTTGGAAGAATATGTGTTTAAAATTAGGAAAAATTTTGAAAGCTACGTGCAAAATATTTTATTAATTGAATCTTTCGTTAAAAATGATTAAATGAGTATAGAATAAATAATTCTGAAATAATAATTGTAAAACAGGGCTTAATTCCCATTTCTTACATCACCCCAAAATTTGCACCCCCAACGCCACTAACCATAAAAGGGTTTTTCGGCCACAGGACACATCGTTCCCCATCTCTCAGTAGAGGGAGAAAATTATACTCTCTCCAACCATTTTATCTCAATTCTGCCTGTCTCTCTCTATATAAACATACACATACAAGAAAAAGAATCTATATCTATATATATTTCTTATATATAGATTTTTTCGATTGTTGTTGCAGAGCTACTTGATTGGACGAAAATTTTTGATTGCAAGGTATGCAGGCTGAGCAAACGGTATTGAGCTTGAGACCAGGAGGTGGGACCCGTGGTGGAAGCAGATTTCTGGGCCCACGCTTTGATTCATCCTCGGAGGCGAATACTGATCTACCGGTGGTGCTTCGTCCCTATGGCGGTGGTGCTTCTTCACTCTCTTCCTTCAAGGTTAATATTTTTTTAATTTCATTTATTTTTTCAGATCTAGGGTTTTTTTATCCGATTGTATCTTATATTTATTAATTAATTGTCTTAATAGTAGGTGCTTTTTATGTAAAAAAAGATACAAATTTGGATTCATTAATCTTTCTGTCGATGGTTTTTTGATATATGTGTATGTGAGTTCATAGGTACATGTGTGTCTATATGGTAATGAGCTTTTAAAAGCTTCCAATCTGTGTATGATCCTATAATTCTTTCCTTCCTGTTTGGAACTGAAGCTTAAAACTTGTTGAGTTTTCAATATTGTATGAAAAATCTTTAAAGGTTTCTTTTTTTAAAGATGGAACTATTTTTATTTGCAGATTCTTAATGAATCTTAATTTTTCACTCAATTCACCTTCACCTTTGTGTGCTTTGTTTGATGCTTGTTAATTTTGATGGAAAATGGGAATTCCAGTATCAATAATGCCCTAACCAATATTTTTTTTGGACATTTCAAGTTAAAACCCTTCCGCATTACTAAATAAAGGAAACATATAATCTTTATTGGGAATTTGGATAACATTTTGAGTTCATTGTCGTATCAGCTCTAGATGAAAATATTCAAATTTGTTCTCTTTTTTTTTTTTTTCCATTCTTTACAATGATTTCTTAGTTTCTATCACGGTAACTAGGGGTTTTTTTGGGAGTTGTTTATTGTCAATGTCCTAATTCTTGGTAGTGCACATAAGATGTGTAGTTGATGTAAATATGGACATAAAGCAATACGTTGGCTTTCCGTGGGCATGCAAGGAGGGTCAGGATGCCCTCAAAGGAATCTATTAATATGGAAATTGTACTGGGAGCTTTGCATGTCATTACAATAACGTGCTTAACAAATGCATAATGGGTGGGATTTTCTAGACAGCCACATGTTATGATGAATAAGGTAGAATGTCTTAATTAGCTAGTTAAATGTCCCGCAACTGTAGTGTACCATGTATATACTGACACTGTGGTCATAATTATGATCTCTAATTGGAGGATCTTTATATTTTTAGTGTACAACTGTTGCCCTTGATGTTTGATTGACTTTTGTTATATTGTCATCCCAAGTCTTTGGGATTCCAGTATCACTTGTGGATTTTTAAGTGAGTTCGTTCAAAAACTAGTTGTCAACTAGGGTAGCGTGTCTATGTCGGACACCCGTCGTTACCGACACTCATTGGATAATCTATCAAAATTATTTTTATTTTTTATTAGAAATATTATATATTTTTAACTTAAATTTGTTAGTAAATAATAAATAGGTAATCATATTTAAAACATTTCAACAAGAAAAATTAATAACAAGTATATAACCAAATTTATACTACATAAATAAAGATTTTTAAAAATTTTAATCACTATGTTGACGATGTGTCGTATCAATACTTTTTTAAAAAAAGTGTGTCAACGTATCCAACACGTATCGTGTTTGACACACGTGTCTGTGTTGGTGCATCATAGCTTTTAACTTATTGCACCATGATTTGCCATTTAGTCCAACCTTATTATATAACTGCATATATCTTCGTCCCAATCTTGGTCTCCGTTTGCTCCCATTATTTGGTAGCCTCCATTTGGCCCCCATTTTGTGGAAATGAAAATGGGTGGAATAGTGTTTTTTTGAAAAATGAGTGGTTGAAAAAGAAGGAAAATTTTTTGGTTTACGTGTAATATTATTTTATGAAAGATTGTGTGGTTGAAAATAGCAGAGAGAAAAATGAAATGTAATGAAATGGAAATTAATGGAGGCTATAATTTTTTGAATATATATATATATATATATATATATATATATT